TGTGTGTGTGTGTGTGTGTGTGTGTGTGTGTGTGTGTGTGTGTGTGTGTGTGTGTTTATCATTTCGATCCGACTGTATACAAAATAGGGTGCTCATGGCACACATACACACACTAACACAGTCGTGATACCTGTGCTATCCTTTTTTCACTTAATGTATGCACAGTTCAGTTCTGATGGTAGCTTACGCAAAACTTAAATTACATTTTTTTTAAAACAAACAAAAAAAAACCCACCAACACAAGCGCCACTCCTATGTGATTTATTGCAATATAATATTTACACCAAACAAGTTTCATTTTTTTAGTAGAGGGTTATACGGCGCTTGCAATTGCATAAGGTCATATGAGCGCCAGAAGATTAGAAGTGTTACAAGAGAGAAACAAACATTAAAAAAAAGAAGAAGGGGAGATAGGGACGATAGACGTTTGATAGGAAAGAAGAAGCAGACCACACCAGAGCACCCGCCAACCACCCACACAAGTTTCCTATGGCTTTGGCAGTCAACAGGTCAGGCTACCAGACTCGCAATCGTGAGATGCAGCTTTGAAGGTACGAGGCTCAGCTCAATCCGATGTCGTGTCCTTGAGAAAGGCACTTTACATGAGTTTCCCCTTTTGGCTCGGTCGTGTCGCAGATGGACGTTAGACTCAGACGTACCACGCTTCTTTAATAACCTTACAGTGTTGCAAAGGGCCTGTACAATTTCGTATACTTTTCGCAGAGATGTCTGCAAACTAGGGTTCTCATTTTCAATATGAAACAATAAAAGAAAAAAAACAACCCAAAAAACAAACAACAGCCCCTAAAAAACAACAACAGCAAAACAAAACAAAAGCTGTCATGACAAACAAACCAACCACACTTGTATGATCTGCAGATAGCATAGAGCAAGCTGATTCTCTGACCTTTAGTTCTTCTCTTTGTAGTAAGGCTTCACAATTTCAAATCTTAACACGAACACCAAGAACCAAAACAAAAAAACAAAACAAAAACCAAGCAAAACAAAAGCAAAAACAAAAACAAAACAAAGAAAAAAAAACAATTATGACAAACAAATCAACCACACCTGTGTGATCTGCAGATAGCGTAGAGCGAGCTGTATCCTTAACCTACAGTTGTTCACTCTGTGGGGAGGCTTCAAAAGGTTACATCTCGAAAAGGAACCCCTCTCCCACCTCCCCCCTCCCCCCCCTCACAAAACCAAACCAAAACAAAATATAAACAGTTACGAAAAACAAACTTGCTATGCTTGTGTGATCTGCAGAAAGCGCAGAGCCAGCTGATTCTCTAGCATTATTGTTCTTCACTTTGTCGTGAGGCCTCAAAACCTCAAATATCAACCCCAATACAAAGACCAAAAACAACCCCACCAAGCAAACCCCCCCCAAAAAAAAACAAAAAAAACCAAAAAAACAAACAAACAAACAAACCCAAAACAAACAAAAACAAATCAAAAACTAAACAAAATAAAATCAGGTACGACAAACAAACTGACCATACCTGTGTGATCTGCAGATAGCGTAGAGCGAGCTGTATCCCTAACCGACAGTTGTTCACTCTGTGGTGAGGCTTCAGAAGGTTAAATCTCGGACATGCTCCCGGGCTGAGCGACTCCATTAGAGCACATAGAACTATGCCGTCCTGCCAGCAGGCTGTGAAGTCGAAGACCTCTTCACCCACCCAGGGCAAAATGGACTTGACCCAGTGCAAAAGTTTCCGTTTGCGACGTTCATCTGAGGGCGAGTCCATGAATGAGAAGAAGGGTATATATCACTTTTGTGGCTGGCTTTTATTTTTCTTGTCAATGTCTGATGGATCTCTCTCTCTCTCTTCTTTCTCTTGTCTCCCTGTCTCTCTGTCTCTCTGTCTCTCTGTCTCTCTGTCTCTCTGTCTCTCTGTCTCTCTCTGCCTCTCTCTGTCTCTCTCTGCCTCTCTCTCTTTCTCTCTCTCTCTCTTTCTCTCTCTCTCTCTCCAGGTAAACTATAGTCCCCAAACTCCATTCCGAACCGACCTGATCTAGTACACAC